GAATGTTCCTACGGTTCTGAAACGTGATCGGAGAAGAGGGTGGTGAGTTACAGTAGATAGAAGTTGAAGGATTCTAGAGAGAAGGTGGAGAAAAATGAAGAGTTGAGTTCTGAGGAAGAAGAAGAGTGCGTGCAGGTGAGTGAGAGAGTTTTTCGAAAATTCAGTTTTGTTCAATCCACGTCCGTTTGAACGAACGTCTCCTCTGCCGACACCTGCACACCCACTTCTGACTTTGGAAGCTTCTAACGTGACAAATGGCACTCGTGCATGCAGTGCTTAGTGGGTTTTAATTAGCCTGAGCAGTGACATGGTGTGCAATAATTGTGATTTGACATATATTTTGCAGTGCTGAGGGTCTTACATATCTACTTTGAATATGGTTTATTGTGCATGTAATTTTTTTTCTATTGTTACAACCATTCTTTTGTAACTGTAAAGTAATATACACACGCAAATGTTGAAATTATGTTTTCACAAATAAATAATCATTATTTTATTAATATAAAGTAACATATATAAGAGAATTTATCACAAAGTATAATTATTTAAAAAGTCATAATAATAATAATTTCAATTGAATCAATATTCATTTTTTAATTTATTGAGTAATTCTAATTTTTATTTTTTAAAATTAATTTTTATCATTTAATTTTTAAAAGTTTAAGAATAAAAGTTTTGAGTATTTTCTATACTAAATAAATTTAATATTGAATGAATAAAAGTATAATTTTTTTTTGGAAACTTATTAATAATAATAAAAAATAGATTAATTATACAAAAGTTTAACAATAACAAGTAACGAAATGAAATTATTTAAGAAATTAAAATTAAAAAGTTTCTTGCTCAAAGGGACAAAGGAATTTGGGGAGATATAAAGCTTGTGCGGCATCAAACCTTGCTCAACTTCACACATTACAGAGAAGAAGCAGAAGAAGAACAAGAAAACGAAGAAGAAGAAGAAAACAAGAAGAATTAGAATCCGACATGGAGTGCGTATTCGGATTGGTCGGAAATGGGTTCGCGATCGTGGTGGCGGATTCATCGGCGGTGCACAGCATCCTCGTTCACAAGTCCAACGAAGACAAGATCATGGTCCTCGATTCCCACAAACTCATCGCCGCTAGCGGTGAACCCGGAGACAGGTATCTAGGATTAGGGTTTCCTCTCCCACTCTTTTTTAATCTTCTTCTTTTCTCTCACTCGCTTTCGTTTTAGGGTTCAATTCACAGAGTACATTCAGAAGAATGTCGCCTTGTATCAGTTCCGTAACGGCATCCCTCTCACCACCGCCGCCGCTGCCAATTTCACACGTGGAGAACTTGCCACCGCTCTACGCAAGGTATCTTCCAAACCCTAGTGCCCATTCTTTTAACGTTCGTAGGTTCTGTTTGTATTAAGTGCTCACGAATCAGCATATAAAACTAACTGAGCTTCTCCTTAGCCCTAAATCAATTTATGCACTTAACTTCT